CTGCACTGGCACAAATGCAACCAATCAACCTGTGGCACATCTGCACTGGCACAAATGTAATGTAAGACTGACCATACATGCATACATTCCATCAAGGCTAAGCAAATGTTATAAAACAGATCGAACAGGCTAATTATAATAAATTAAAATGTACATTTATTACTAGTCATTGCAGTTATCTTCTATCAAGTTTAACACAAATAGTTTGAATGCAACCCTGTTGATCTAGTAGGGTTACATTTTCCTTGATAGATAGAGCAAGCAAGCAAACAAACCTGGAAGATAATTTCAAACTAACAACGCTGTTAAACATAATTGTTTAACAATTTTTCTTCACCCCATTCATACCTCAAAGTTCCCGCAGAAGTGGCTCAGTTGTTGGCACAATGGTCATATAAATAGTTAGATAAAATGTTGGATTACCACAGAACAAACTGTTTTATTTACTCAATCTTCTACATTGTACATACAGCCCATAGAACCTGCGCGCATGTCTTTATGGGCGAGAAACATCTTTGCCAAAACCTCCCACATCTTTTCATGTTTATCGATCATCTGAGCTTGTGTTGAGAAGTGAACATCCAATCAGCAGTAAGTGGACAATACCAGAGTTGCAGTGGAAGATAGGAAAATTATAGATACATGCCTTCAGTTAGTGAAGTGTTGGTGAGCCATCTGGGAGGTTAAACTGATTTATTTGTCCCCTACGAAACACTCCCACCCAGTGCAAGTTAAAGTATGTTTGGTTGATTAAAATATGATCCCAAAATGCAGCTCGAATACATTTAAATAGTAGGTGCCTGCTGTCCAGATCCTGAGGGCATAGCCCTAGCCAATACTAACCAGCTGCCTAGAGACCACCAAAGAAGAATATTGACTGGCTAAGCATAATTTGTAGTATTATCCCTTTTCCTTTCAACCCAAGCTGAATAAATGTAACCATAAAGCCATTAAAATAATAGAATAATTGAAATCGGTAAAAAGACAAAATTATACAAAAAAATATAATATAATAAAAATATATATTTCAGTATTAACTGTTTAGCTTATGTTTAAAAGGCCCTGATGTTCCACTCTGGTCTATTCTTTTGGCACATTCCAAGAGAAAAGTGCATTTGGAAATATCATGAAGAGCCTGTTATTTTACATAAACTCTCTTCTGCCAAAAATAAGCCCTTGGAAGTTGGGGTCTGGTCTATTTTCTTCCCCGTGAAAGGATTTGTCATTGTAATAAATTCCGGCATTGGAGTTAAAAGTGTTTAGTGAATAAGAGTGTTGCTGTTACCCAGAGAAATGTGACATTCATTTTATTGCTTCTCTATAGCAGCAGCAGCAAATACTACAAAATGTCTTCCGTAAAAAAGTTTCCCGTTGTCGTCCGTAGCCAAGCAAGAGCCTCTCCTCGTTAACCAGAAGCAAGATAATAATCCTGTCAACATGTCTATTAGTCAATGAAAGACAATGCAGGGCAGCGACAATTTCAGCTGCCCAAACAGCAAACAAAAGTGCATGTGGCTCAACCTGTTGTCATGGAGAACCCTTCACTATTCCACGTTGGCCCAGTGCCATAAAAAGGATTCACTATGTGGGAATAAACAAAATGGCTTACAATAAGCCGGGGACTTATGGCACAGTCAACTGTCACTCTCAATTGTGGAGTCACTCAGACATCTCCTTATCCTCTAAAAAAAGCAAGTCTTTTATTTCACACAGAGTGCTTCGCTTAATTGCCACTGTAATGTGAACAATGCCAATTTACATAGCCAATCCTATCTGGAAAAGCAGGCCCGGCACCCAGGCATTCTCCAAACGGCTCTCTGCATCAGGAGAATGGCTCAGGCGGATCGTGCGAGTCCCACCTCTTCCTCCCCACCTCCTCCTGCCCATTCCCCACCTCCTCCTACCCAACTCTTTCTCCCCACCCCTCCCTCACCTCTTCCCCCCCACTCTCCCTCCCCACCTCCTCCTCCCCACCTCTTCCTCCCCACCTCTTCCTCCCCACCTCTTCCTCCCCACCTCTTCCTCCCCACCTCTTCCTCCCCACCTCTTCCTCCCCACCTCCTCCTCCCCACCTCTCCCTCCCCACCTCTTCCCCCACCTCCTCCTCCCCACCTCTTCCTCCCCACTTCTCCCTCCCCACCTCTTCCTTCCCACCTCCTCGTCCCCATTCCCCACTTCTCCCTCCCCACCTCTTCCTTCCCACCTCCTCCTCCCCACCTCTTCCTCCCCATTCCCCACCTCTTCCCCCCTCTTCCTCCCCACCCCTTCCTCCCCTCCTCTTTCCCCACCTCCTCCTCCTCACCTCCTCCTCCTCCCTCACCACAGTAATGATGCAGATAATGGGTGGCTTCACGCTCCACTGTAGCAAAATTGAAATCACAACACTGTTTATTAAGAAGTTTAAAGCATATATGTCTATCTACTCATGGGTTTTTCTCCTCTGACTTTTGACGATGTCGGTATTCTTCTGATGCCAGAGGAGGCGAGAGATTTGTCAGCAAAACAGATGCTGGCATGGAAATGCATTGCCTTTGGCTTTATATCCGTTTATTTCTGTCCTTTTTTCATCATATTTTTCACTTGATGGGATTTTGGGGTCCTCCTTTGATACTATCCTTTCAGCCTGACTTGGAGCTAATTCTACACGATCAAATTGAACAGACTCTGGTAAAGCATACAAGCTTAGCGTTGTTCATTCTACTTCGTCAATAAAAAGTTCAAAAGGATTAACTTATTACACGACTGATCCAACCATTTCTGGAAATAAAAAAACATCACAGTGATTGGACTTCCTGGATCAGGCTGGGAATTAAGCTACAGGAGGGATATTCAGCCATGTCTAATGAATGTTCTCTACGGTCAATGGACTCATATTGTGCACTACTAACGGAGACACGATGGCGGCTGGTCCTAGAACATCCTTCCACTCCGCATTATTATTGAACATCAGAACCGACCGAGAGAGGCATTAGAACATGAATGGTTAGAAGCAATTGTGCTTTAAATTCTGGTGACCAGTACGGATTAGGCCACAGTCAACAGCTAGAAGGAAGAAGTAACCAAGGTTTGTTTACGTACACAGATACCTGATAATAGTTATGTAGATGTATTTCACAGCGGCTTATTGATAGTCATAACCCTCAAGTACAGCCCACAGCTGGGTTTGGTAAACCTTTTATAGGTCAATACTATTTCACATTTTAACAAGTTAAAAATGACAACTTTTAACGGGTTGGAAATTTCTTCTATTAACGGGAAAGTTGTAATTTTCATTTCCCAAGAAATATGAAGAAATAAAGGTGCAAGCTGTTTGGTATGTACACATAATTTTTATCAATAAACAGAGGTATTAGGAATACGGCTGCTGACTATAAAGATACTTAAAACAAGCACATGTTTCTGCGGAGTGTGACGCCAAAACAATTTAATTGAGCTATCACAGTGTATCTGATGCGACAACAAAACATAATGTCCTCCTTTAGCTGGAATTTTATACGGATCTCTTTGTCTGCTTGGAAAAACGAAAGCGTTTTATGTATCTAGTTGTGCTATTTGTGCAGCTCCTGCTTTATAACAGCACAACGTCGGCTTGACATCTCTGCAGTTCTGTTACTTTCGCACTCAACAATGCTTGGTTAGCCATAACCACGGTAGCATGAACATTATCTTGGTTGTGTTCCAAAATATTCAATACATTATTCACCATTCAGTTCCGTTGGGCAAAATATAATCTGAAACTAAATCAAAGTGCCAATGCATCCAACCTGTGTAAATATAAAACTATTATATTGTGAAAAATGGCATCTGACAATAATCAACCATGCGTCTTTTGGTGCTCCTACCAATCATGATATTAAATTGGGTTGAGAAGTTCGGAGGTGTCAGTGATGTCCACGGACGTTCCACCCCCCCCATAAACCACATAATTTAAAAGTAAGTTGGCCAGGTCAGGTGTAGCATGGTGTTGGTCTAAG